TCTTGCCGTTTCAATAAATTTCATTTCAACTTGATTATGCTAAATAATTTCTTTAAAGGTATCATTCTCATACAAAAGGAAACAGATATTTTGCTCCTGTAGTCAAAAGCATTTGTCAGCATGGGTGCAAACCGGATCACAGGGTCCCGTTGAACAATAACACAGAGAAGTGATAACTATGAACTGCAGTATCTTGATGTTAACACACACAAAAAAAAATTATTGTAATGTGTGATGAAAAAGACGGATTGAGATTTCCATGTTTCAAAATGTATTAATATTCCTTTTTAAACAGTAGATCTATTTAAATAATTTTTCCTAGTTTAATTTTAAATTTCAATATCTGTTACTATGAAAAAAAAAAATAATCGCGAAATCTATCAACTTTTTCTTCAATTAAAATTCCTACGCAGAGTGTATATGGCGCGGATCTTAGAAGTCTAATTTTAATTAAAATGAATTTATATTTCTTAATTCAATGAACACATAATTTCATGGATCCACTCAACAACAAAATCACCGAAAATTGGTGCCTAGCGACAATTAATGAAACCACAGTATTTATCTCTAGCCAATTTCATACATCAAAATGTAACAAAAGATTTTTTTTTTGGACTCTAGGTATAGGTAAACAGGCTTTGAGAAAATGCAATGTTTTTTTTAAATTTTGCAAAAAAGGCGTTATTGACTACCTTCAGCAAAGAATTAAAATATGAGGATCCAAAAATTAAAGCATGTTATTTTGTCTTCAAAAACAGATTTTTCGTTATGTAATTGAACATTTTAGATCAGAGGGGTTTTGCTGAATGTGCAATATAAAAATAAAATACCCCAATTTGTAACGAGAGAAAATATTACGTCATGTTCAATAGATACACGGTCACCAAGAGTCCCAGTGATGAATGCTCATTTTCAACCAAAACTAAGCAGTTTGAATTTTTCAGAAATTGAACCAAGTGGCTATTAGATTTTGTCGCGTTCTTTTAGTTTCTTTAATAAAATATTATATTGATGGAAAAGCTCTTGCAGTTAGGTGGTCAGTCTCTTAAAACAGTAATACGCAACTTCTATTTATTATAAAGTACAAGGGGAGGTTAGAAAATCTGAGTCAAAATGTCTGTATCAAAGATTAAAGGCGTTGTCTAGAAGAATATTTGTAGGGTAGGTTAAATTGAAGATCATTTATATAACCTTAAGATATGTGACAATGTGATTTCCTAAGATGCATCTTTCAAACAAAAAAAGCTGCAGAAAGAACTCATATAAACTGAATGTTTTTAAGTCAACAGCATTTGATTTGGACATGCTCAAACTGACCTTTATGCAATGGCGCGTCTTATAATAGGAAAGGAAAATGATTCAGCTTCATTTCAGTACTATTCCAAACTCACAAATTTTTATTTACTTCTGTTTTAACTTCATATAATGGATACTGCTTGTTAGTGCATGAGTCTCAGGGTTAACTGCTAACTTCCGATTGTAAATTTTGTCTATGCATCGGGTTTAGATGAAGATTTTTGCGTTTTTAAAAATATGATATCCCCTTAAAAACTTCTCTTAAAGGTTATTTTTTCTACGTGTTCATGCTTTTGAAAGGTTTCTGTACACAAATTTTTGGTCTTTTAAAAATGTTCACTGCATTAAAAAGATCATAAAATCGCTATCTCTAAATCAAATAATGCTTTCACGAAATTGTTGTGTAACTCAATAATGAAATTGACACAAAGATAATTATGTTGCTCTAGATTTCAATTCAAGAACCGTAACATTCTCATGTAACCTAAGATGATACCAGGATGCCTCTTATTATTTTTTCTTTCATATTTTTTTCTAAGATATCTTTCTAATATCTTAAAAATTTCTTTATTAAAAAAGTAAAACCTGTGTTTTAAAAGAACTTTATGCATATCGATTTTGTCTAAAAGCTTTCTTGAAAAAGGGAAATTGATACTCAATGGCTAAGAAATACATTTTAATCACAGGATCAGTATTGTAATGAATACAAGAACTTTACACTTACATCACTCTTGAAACACAAGGGATGTTTTTTTCTGTTTATTTTTGCAGTTAAATTATTTAGTAGGAATTCTACTTTTCATATCTTGTATCGTTAGTCTTATTGATGACAACTACAATATAATCCAAAATTCACTTTTTAAAAAATGTTTCTTAGGTGATAAAAGATATTGTTCTGAAGAAGAATACAAACTTTCTTTTCATTAACGATTTAATCTTTCAACAATCTGTTATACAAAAATGGTACTGTATGATGCTCTTAGTTTAAAAATTGAAAAAGCAAGATTTCAAGCAGCTTAGATAACTTCAAGTAGTTCTGGTTATCTACACTTATCGACGTTACTAAAAAGGAAAATTCTCAAAATTCAATATAAACGGTGAAATTGTTAAGAATTTTCTAAACTGAGACCTTATCATGATATTAAAGGAATGACTTTAGTTCTTGGCCAAATTATCGAGTATAATCTGGTTTGGGTCAGTTTACGCTTGATAATCCACGTATAGTCTGGTTTGGGTCAGTTTATGCTTTATAATCCGCGAAGCAGATTATAATAAAGCGTAAACTGGCCCAAACCAAAATATACTCGATAATTTGGCCAAGAATTGCTTCTTGCGAGTTCAAATTTCCTGCGCAATAATACAACCGTAGTAACGGAAGTGATGTGAAGCGAGAGGAGGTAATAAATGATACATAGATCTAGCAGCCATGATATGTGTTTAAATGACGTAAGATTGAGTAAGTGTTTGAAGTTAAAGATACAGTTATTAAATTTTGGATTTTCTATGGATTCCGAGGACTGGGAATTAGGAGATTGCATGGACAAAATGATTAAGCTGGTCGTCAAGGGGTTTGTCCCCATACCAAAACAGATTATACAAAATATTTTGCGTTCCTTTTTGGAAATCAACCAATGAGAGGCGAGAATATAAAAAAAAATAAAATATTTATGTATGTATTCTAAAAAAAACAAAAATTTATATTATGAAAAGGTCATACGCAAGTAAGTTAAGGCAACATATAGAGGCTTCTCTCCAATGAACTACTTAAAAGCAATTAGGAATGAACTGATTGCACAGAAAAAAAGTTTAAAACTGTTTTATACAAATTTGGTACCCACGACTTGCCCTAGCCAGTGGACATATGACGTCATATTATGACGTCATATACTACACAAGTTTATAAGGAACATCAACAAAACAGCTTCGGTGCAAGGGCATACTCAACTTTGTTCTTTAGAAACAAGGTATTATTAGACGCAGAATATTACAAGGATTTATGATATTGCTGCACAAATGTCAACAGTGCAATTGCTTAGTTACTATTTCAAAAGTCTTAAGTTGAAATAGTTTAAAAGTTCACTGTCCGGTGTAAGTTGCCTGAAATTTTTATCAGTTGAGAAAGCACATAGGATTTGTGCAGCAATTTTATTAATTTTATAAAATTCTTCTTAATATCTTACTTTATTTATTAAAAATCATATAGAATATGCCCTTGCACAGGTGTAAAGACGATTAATGACCCCCATCGAATAATGACCGAGGGGTCATTTTTCAACGACAAAAATGACCTCCCGCCCATAGAAAAAAAAATCATTTTTTGTAGATTAAGAGCCCCAGGGGTTATTATTTTATCTGAGAGTCCTATAAAATATTGACCCAAGTTGAAAAATGACCCCTTTTAGAGTGATCCAAAAGTTTTAATGTTTATATTGAAGCAAAGCATAAGATCGGCCGCAGAAATATTTCATTTTAGCATTCTAAAGAATTTTCACGACGAATATATTGAAAATCAAAGTACTGAAAGTACTGAAAGCCGGGCTTAAAGGTCACAAGCTACATTGGTATATTTTCAAATCTATGTAAAGCAGGAGAATAATAATATTTCAGACAACAAGAGGCCCAGGGGCCAAATCTTTCACCTGAGCTCAGACTATGTAAAACTAAAAGCAAAAATCAGTTCAGTATTGAAAAAAAATTAGATATAAAAAACGGGTTCAAGTGGGGTCATAATTTGAACAAAGTTGAATCTATATTACATGAGGATACTTCCATATAACTATGACCAATCACTGCTTTCCTGTTCTTGAAAAGAAGAATGTTAAAGATTTTCACTACGTATTCTAATGTTTTATTTAATCCCCCATTGTGGTTCTATTCTACCTCTAGTGATCATGATTTGAATAAATTTGAACCTACATTACTAAAGGATGCTTCCACATGAGTTTCAGTTTTCATGGCCCAAGGGTTCTTGAGAAGAAGATTTTAAAAGATTTCCCCTATGTATTCCTACATGTATGTTAAACTATCCCCCATCATGGCCCCACCCTACCCCTGTGGGTCATAGTTTGAGCAAACTTGAATCCACCACCGGAGGATGCTTCCACATGATTTTCATCTTTCTTGGTCCAGTGGTTCTTGAAAAGAATTTTAAAGATTTCCTCCATGGCATCCTTATGTTAAACTTTGACCCCCCATTATGATTCCACTCTACCTCTTGGGGTCAGGGTTTGAACAAACTTGAATCTGCACGACCTGGGGTTGTTTCCACATGAGTTTCATCTTTTCTGACCCAGAGGTTCTTGAGAAGGAGAATTTCAAAGATTTCCCCAATGTATTCCTATGTTTAACTTTGTTCCCCCATTATAGTCTCACCCTATCCCCGGGGGCTCATAATTTGAACAAACTTGAATCAATACTACCAGAGGATGCTTCCACATGAGTATCACCTTTCCTGGCCAGGTCTAATTCATAATATTAATTATCCCCCCTTGGAAGGAGGCGTTGCCCTTCATTTGAACAAACTTTGTGGCAAGTTTGATTGAAATTGGCCCTGTGGTTCTTGAGAACAAGATGAGAATGTGAAAAGTTTACAACGACGACAACGACAACAACATCTACAGTATGCAGATATTAATCATGATACAAAAAATGTACACTTTCCACATTATCGTTTGGATCTGAATTATCTTTCCTTCACTTTTTAGATTGTTGTTGAGGCTACTAGAGGGAGCTTCGACCTAGGTGACATTGCGATAGATGACGTCACACTCATGCCTCATCCATGTGTGGAACATTGAAAAAAAGACCACTGTTTGTTATTTTGTAAATCTGTCTCATATTATGGAGAAAACTAAAACTATTTCTTTAGACTTTTTGATTTATTTTCCGACTATAAATGATGCATATAATCAAACGGTTATTACAACGGTTACTATGTTTGTACGTGTTTGCATATGTTTAAAATCACTTTCAATATACCGAAAATAAACAGAACATTTTTGACGAAAAATATATTTTGAAAAAAAATTATCTTATATAGTTAGAGTGTTTGTTTTTTCTACGTGTATAGATACCCGATTACATGATGAGGGTATAAGGTACCCTCTGTTAGCCTCTTTCCTTTTTATCAAAATATTCCTTTCAACATGTTATTAATAATAACTTCTCATCAAGGGTTGCAGGAGTGAAAACAAGGACATTACATAAATATTGTGTACTCCATGCAATTTGCTTTTCTTGTTCCTCGACAAATGCATCATACGTATATGACAAATACGTATTTCATTTGATGAAACAAAATATGACGATTGTTAGAAAAGACACACTGCGTTGTATAGACTGCTCAAACTTTCAAA